CGCCCTCCCCGCTATACTACCGCTCCCACCCTGAGCATCAGTCTTTGCCCTAGGCCGATGAGATAGTATAGTGAGTCCAACTTGCACGCAGTCAAGCGACCAGGATTCAATTCCCAGCATCACATACAAGCCCCTGGGCATGGAGGCAGGAGAAAGGCTTAAGCACTGCCAGGTGTGGTCCACACCTCACTCCTATCCTACATACACAAAATATACATTTAAAAAAGTTAGTCTTAAAAAATTAGCCTTGACTCTTGCACCTGGATGTGGAAAGAATCTCATTCCACAAGATAAAGCCAGCTCTGACGGTAATCTACAAAAATCAAAAACCCATCAAGAATAACCCTGTATGTAGTTTCAGCGACTAAACTAAAACAAACAGAACCAGCTCCATAAGTGTCTCCCGTATCTCCACGCTGGCTGAGCACATCCGCAGGTAGTGGTGGAGGTGCCTGGTGACCGCTGCCTCCATTAGGACAGTTGCCACCCGGCAGCAGGAAAACCTATGGTCCCCAGCTTGGAACAGCAGCACCTGCCGCTCCTCCGAAGAGGCTGTGAAACCGAGTGCTAAACGCCTCCCAGAGGAGGAAGGTCTGTGAGCTGGGGCGCCCAGGTAACATCTGTATGCTTTGAGCGGCTCAAGTAATATCTGTGACAATTGTGGGTTTTCTTGGTTCGTTTGGGGCCATACCTGGTGGGGCTCAGGGCTCACTCACTGCAGGGCCCCGGGGGCCACGGGGGGTGTTGCGGATTGAACCCATGTCCACCGTGTGCAGAGCGACACCTGTCGCGCTGTCGCATCTCCCATGCTCAGCCTGCGAGTTTGTGCATAAGGGCCACCAGGGTTCCAGATCGCGGTGCTCAGGGACCCCTGAGCGGGGGGATGCAGGCCCAGCACATGCGGGGGCTGGCAGGAATGGGCACCACAGTTGGGGGGATCGCCCCGGCCCAAGGGACGTCTCCGCAGAGTAAAAGGACTGCACAGAAAAGCTGGGGTGAGGGGTGCTCTGACACCCCCCAACAGACCAGAGGCAAGAGACTGAAACACACCAAGGCCTAAGTTTCAGTTCAGATCAAGGAGAGTTCTGAGTGGCAGCAACAGGCCTAAAAGGAGCGCGGAGCCCGGATCAGAGGTGTCCCAGTTTCCTGAAGCCTGAGGCACAGCGGGACTGAGGCAAAGGAACTCCAGGGCTCTAGAGCTCAGATCCACCACCCCAGAAAGGGATCAGACAACTAGAGTCCCGCACCAGGAACTCGGCAGCATGGAGCCAGCGAGTCCTCACTGAGCCCAGGGAGACCAGCGGCCAGGCCTGAGAGCGGAGGCGAGAAAGGAGCCCACGCACAGGGAGCTGCTGCCGGAAGATCCCTAACCAAAGCGAGAGGCGACAGGTGTCCCTCCAGGAAAGATCAGGGAAGGAAGAGCTGCTGAAGGATGGGGCAGCGCCCGGCTCCCTGGAATAGTGCTCTGCAGAGGATGAGGGGTGCAGGCCGAGAGCCTTGCTGGAGGGGTCAGACACTCCATTCCCTTGTGAAACTACTCGAGCACCCAAGGAAGGATGGGCATAGGCAAGGCCACCTGCAGGCCGCAGGGCCCTCTACCCATCTACACCCCTCCCCCAAACTCTGCTCTCAAGCAAATTTCCACCCGACAACGGGGAACTCACGGCAACAGTGCCAAGCGCCACAGGGGCCAGCAAAGGCCGGACGGAGCTCAGGGTAGCCCAGCTCCCTGCAGGACAGCACCCATGGCCCACGCTTGCTGCAGAGATGCCCAGGTGGTGCCACCTGTCCCCACAGATCTTGGCTTTCTTCAGGTATCAGAGGAGGCGAAATGCTGGTCCCTTCTCAGGCGACTGCATAAGCACTGGGCAAGCAGGGCTGTTTGCGAGGTTGGGGCTCAACTGCTGCCAGGGCCAGAAACTGCACACAAGGCCTCCCCTAAAGCCCATGAGTTGGAGGTCTCTCCTCGGGGCTCCAGTGTTCTCCGAAAGAGCAGTCACTGTGGGCAACGCCCAGCCCACATGACCTGCTAGGCCATCTCAGTGTGCGGCCACGGTAGCACACAGGTAGCGCTCCGAAGGGGCCTTGCAATGGCCACTGTTCCCCCAAGTGCATGCTGGGAAAGACAGGTTCTAGGCCTCTGAACAACCGGAAAAATGCTCACTATGGGCTCTACAAGGGTCTGCTGCAGAATGGTCTGGCCCATCTCTGCAGGCACCACCTCCAGGGGGATGGAGCTCTCGAGGCCTGCCTCAAGAGGGGCAGGCCCAGTCTGTGGAGACGCTGCAGCATCTCCAGGTCCAACAAGCACCTGTCACACCTGCAGAGTCAACGCAGCTGACACCCATGGAACCCAGGAACAGGGAGGCCGGGCCGGGCAGTGCTCAGGCCCAGCTTGGGAACCCAAAGTGTTGCCAGGGATGGAATGGGGGGGAGGGGGTGTCACATACAAGGCCCGGGCCACGCCCCCTGTGCTATCTCCCTGGCTCATTTTTTGCATTAAAAAAAAAAAAAAGAAACAAAATTCACTTGCATTAAGTCATCCATCATGTCCAGGAGCCCCCAAGTGGCTGAGGGGACATCCAGCTGGCCGTGGACCAGGGTGACCCAGCCTGCGTGGGGTCCCCATGGCCTTCGCGTCCCGAGCCTGCCCCTTCCCAGCAACTAGCCACATCGAAGCTCGGTTGCTGCCGGCCACTCAGGAGACCTGGGCTCAATGTCTGAGAACTCAGTATTGTTCTTGCTCATCATCAAAAGGCCACGGATGAGACTCCTGAAATCAAAGCCTGCTTCGGCCCTCGCGGGGTTCTCTCCCAACAGGTGCCAATCGACAGTGAGCACCAACACTCACCATGATCCCTTTCACATGGGCCTGCTCACTCCCTGCAGAAAACCTCCCCTCTGATAGCACCTGCAGACTTTCCTTCGACCCACCAACACTCTGAGAATGAACCGGCAAAAATGATGGGTTCACTTTGCTCAAAAGCGTCCAAAGGAGATCCAAGGAGGTTCCCAGACACCAGCGGGGAAGCTAGGTGGATGGGGGGAGGACCCCCACACTGGACTGCGTGGACACCGCGGCTTCCCATCCCAGCAAGGCCCAGGCTCTGCTGGCCGTTTAGACAGGCCAGGGCGGCCCAGACCATTCCCCCCTACAAGCCGGTGCAGGCCCCGGGGCCAGTCGAGGTGAGCAGGGGCCACGAAGCTGGTGAGGGCCCTGCAGAGAGTCATGATGATCAGGGGGCACGGAAGAAGGGCGGTTAGCAATCACTTCAGTGAAGAAATGCAGTTTTATTTCCACGCACCGAGGAGGAGGTGGGAGCCAGACGTCAGCGTGTGCGACGGAGCAGCGCAGAGCCACTGTCGTCACAGGCCCCGCCGCGGGAGACGCCGAGACAGGCGTTACTACGAGCAGACAGCAGTTCAGATCGCTAACATTCCATTCTCGCCTGAGGCAAAGCTATACAGAAACCTACAAGGACCCACCAACCTGTTCGGTTTTGTCTCTCCTCCTTTGGCTCTTAAAGACCATCAAATCCATGGAGATAGGCTCGACCCCCAGTGGTTAAGATTCGCAAGCGAACACACTTACAGCACTGTCTCCATTGGGCTCATGACTGCTGCAGTCAATGGTGCATTTCAGAGCTGGGCACATTTCCAATGAAGTTTCCTCTGCTAGTAGTGACCGGCACTGCGGCAACAGTCCACATTAGGCCAGCATTTAACAGAGGGTGTCCCTCCCTCTTGAGCGGGCTGTCCAAGAACACGAGTTCGACCACTGGCTCAAGAGAAGCAGAGTCTTCCCAGTGGTTCAACATTCATGTTAGGTTCAACTACAAGCCTTCTGCCAACAGAGGGGCCGCACGCTTTGGGGCAGACTAGAATTCTTCCGGGATACAGAAGGCCAGCAAGGTGCTTGTCACACAGCGGCACAGAGCGAAAGCCATCGCACATTAGGAGCCAGCGAGAGACACAGTTGAGGGCAGAGTGATGGGAGGGGAGCTGGACGCACGTTCATCCCAACACCGCGGAGGGCTCCCGAGTCTAAGAGAGGCGGAGGAGCCTCACTACGAACTGTCCTGGCGGGCGGCCCGGGCAGTAAAGGGACGAGCCATCGGGGAAGAGCTTAGGTGGAACCACAGGTTTGGAAAGTTCTGGGATCCAACACCATGTCTACAGGAGCATCGGGATTAAAGTGAAAAAGAGTCAGGATCGGGCAACAGGTAGAGATCCCTCCCCTGGAAGAGCGGACAGAGATGGAAAGACACATCTTCCAGTGCAGGCCTTCTTCTAACACGGCTTTCTGTTAGGAATCAAGCAGTCATTAGTTACAGCCCGACTTGCACAGAATCAGTTAGTACGTCTGCAATTAAACCGGAAGCACGGCTGGCGCTCCGAGGCGGCGGCCAGGAGAGCGCGGGTGGGCTGGAAGCACTCTGGGCGCCCGGCGGTCACGCAACGCGGCCGGGCTCTGTCCGGCGGGCCCCGCGGGGATGCGCCTCCCGGCAGGTCCCGGCTCCTGCGCAGGGGGGCCGCTCGCCCCCTCCTCCGGACCCCCCTGCGGAACGCCGACCCCCGCGCCTGTCAGCCGGCCAGGCTGCGCCGGGGAGGACGGCCCGCACCTGCGCGGCGTCCCCCTCCGCTCCGTCCCCCCAGGAAGGCGCCCCCCGCCGCCCCCTCCCCGCTCGGCCCGGGGGCGGCACGAAAACCGGCGTCCTCGGGGTTTCCAGCCGCCCGGGAGCCTCGGGCAGTGCCCGGGGCGGCCCCGGGAGCGCCCCCGCCACCTCCCCGCGCGAGCCGCGCCAGCCCACGCCGGCCGCCCGTGCGGGGCGGGCCCGGGCCGGGGGCGCGCGAGGGGGCCGGGCGTCCCGGGCACACGCGGGGCCCGAGCCCGGCCGCCCCGGGCCGCTCCCCCCGCCCCCGGGCCCGCTCCCCCTCCTCCCGGCAGGCCCGGCCCCGCCTCGGGCGCTCGTGCTCCCGCCCGCCGGCCGCGCCCGTACCTGCCGGACCCGGTGCAGGGCGTCCACGAAGCCCTCGGGCTTCATCCCCACCGGCGCGCTCTGGCCCTGCACCAGCTCCGCCATTCCCGCCGCCCCCGCCGCCGCCGCCGCCGCCGCCGCCGCTCGGCTCCCCCGTCCGGCCTCCCGCTCCGCTGGGGGACCCGTAGCCGGAAAGGGAAAGTCGCCCCACTTCCGGCGGAAGGGAAGCCGGGGCGCTCGACGCCCGAGGAGCCGCGTCCGAGGGGCGGGGCGGAGCGGGGCCGGGGCGGGGCGGGCGAGCACGTGACCGCGCCGGCCGGAAGCGGGGCGTGGCCTCGGGTGGCGCCGCCCCGCGCGCCGGAGCTTCGCCAGGTCGGGACCCGGCCCGGCCCCCTCCCCGGCCGTCCGCGCCTCGGCGCCGTCGGGGTCGTCGTGCCGGGCTCCTGCACGATCGGATGTTCCCGGACACAGCCGGGATTGTGGCTCTCCCCTGGGCCGTCCTGTGCACCCCAAAACTGGCCCAGGCAGCGCCCAGGGCTGGGACTACTAGGGGGGCTGGTACCGGGAGGGCGCCGAGGGAGGCAGGAGCACGCGGGACCGCAGCACAGAATGTGCAGAGTCCCGGGCCCGAGTTCTCGCGCCGTCATCAGTTTGCACGCGGACGGGCAAGGGCCACACCTGGGGTTGCCTAGCAACGCGGCGCGGGAGGACGCGACCCGCCGCGGGCCGGCCTGTGTCCCCTTACACCTTGCGTCACCGGCCCGGGGACTCCGGGGAAGCAGGAAATACCGCGCGAATATCCCTGCTTCCGTACCTGCCGCCGGGCGGATTGCAAAGAGGACTTGCCCGGAAAGCTTAAAGACGACCTTAAAATAGCGACGAGGTAGCGATTTTGCCGAGCGAGGGGGTGGACACTGAGCTGGGGCATGCTCGAGTGTTGGATGTGAATCTTTTATAAATGGGCCAACAACGCCCACTTCCCGGAGAAGGACCAGGGCTTTGGGGCTTTCAGGGCACGTCTTGTTAGTCTTGTTAGTGGCAGGTACGAGTGAGGGTTCCCCTAGGAGGTTAGCAACACCGCCCCGTGATTAAGAGTCCCGAAGCCCTTTGCTGCCAAGGAATTGGGTTTCAATGGAACCATCTTGAGTTGATGGAGGTGGTTAGGGAATAAATCAAATCGAGCATGGCTTCACTCTGTGATCCTTCGTGTCAGCCTGGAAGAAGTGTGAGCTGAGGGTGGAATTTGTTTGTTTGGGGGCCACACCCAACGATGCTCAGGGTTTACTCCCAGAGGTGCTCTAGGAACCAAATGGGATGCGGGAGATCAAACCAGGTTGGCCACGTGTGTGCAAGACAAGAACCCTACTGGCTGTGTTATCTCTCAAGCCCCTGATAATCGTTTTTGTTTTATGATCTGCAGAGATTGAGTCTTACTTTTCCTTCATTCTTTGAGTTTGGCACATAGTAAGTGCTTAGGAAGCTTTTTAAAAAAAATACTAATTGGAATACTCACTAGGCTACAGTAATATAAGAAAATATACTTGACAGAGTTGCACTATTGCCTGCATAAAAGTATTTAACCAAAGTATACTGTTGCACTGTGGAAGATGGTCACTTTTAGAGAAAATGTTTCCAAATGTTTCCAAAGCTCACATTTCACAACATCAAGAAGCGTCACCAAAAGCAAGACTGAGCCACACCAGCGCTTCTCTTTGGCCAACCTGGGGGTGTCAAGCATTTAAACTTGGCTCTACTTGCAAAAAAATCAAGGCAAAACTTCAAAATTTCAGGAATAGGATGATCCTATTAACCTAATGCCGAGGATACTTGTATTTAGGATGTGTTTTTTAAAAAATCTTTGAGGTATGTTGATTCGGGCTGGAGCGATAGCACAGCGGTAAGACGTTTGCCTTGCATGCAGCCAACATGGCCGACCCGAGTTCGATTCCTCTGCCCCTCTCGGAGAGCCCGGCAAGCTACGGAGAGCACGGCAGAGCCTGGCAAGCTACCCGTGATGTATTCGATATGCCAAACACAGTAACAACACAGTCTCCAATGGAGACGTTACTGGGCCCCACTCGAGCAAATCGATGAACAACGGGAGAACAGTGATAGATTATGTTGATTCATCTAAATGACATGTGACTCTCCCGTTGAGTGTAAATAATGACCATGGGATTATCAGCTCACGTGTAAGGCACGCTCCAAGGTAGAATCCAAAGACCGCACAAGGCCCACAGAGAAAGAAGTTTCTGGTTCTCCCTTTCATGCTAACTGAGTCATTGGAGGGCCTCTTGCTCCTGGGGCCAGAGAAGAGGAGGAGAACAACCCACTTTGGGCGACTCTCGATGTTCTACTCTACCTTAGCTTTGCACTCATCACTACTGATCTGAACTCATGATCAGCGCTCTCTGCCACCTCCCTAGGACTAAAACTCCAGCCGAGACAGGGATCATAATTGCAGCTTCTCTTGCTCTCCCCAGCACCTGGCTTAGTGCCTGGGATTCTGTTGATTTTTGGTATTTGTGAAATGAAACAATGAGAATGACTTGACCCAAGTCAGTCAGAGAAGATTCCCAGACATGAAAGAGAACTAAAGGGGCAGGAGTGCTAGTACAGTGGGGAGAACACTTGCCTCGCATTCAGCTGACCAGGTTCCGTCTCCGATCTCCCCTAAGGTGCCTTGAGCATGACCAGGAGTGATCTCTGAGCACAGAGCCAGGAGTAATCTCTGAGCATTGCCAGGTGTGCCCCTTCCCCCCTCCCCCCAAAAGTTAAAAGACTTGCCAGCGACACAGCAGGTAGGGTGCTGTGCTGTCACACCTGGGTTCGATCCCTGGCATCTGATATGCTTCCCCAAGCACTGCCAGGAGTAAGTAACCTCTCTGAGCATCACCGAGTGTGGCTCTAAAACAAAACAAAGGGGCTGGAGCAATAGCACAGCGGATAGGGCGTCTGCCTTGCACGTGGCCAACCCAGGTTCAAATCCCAGCATCCCATATGGTCCCCTGAGCACCGCCAGGAGTAATTCCTGAGCGCATGAACCAGGAGTAACTCCTGTGCATCGCTGGGTGTGACCCAAAAAGCAAAAAAGCAAAAAAAAAAAAAGCCTCTCCAGAACTGACTAGGGAATAACAGTGCTACTACAAGCAATGCTTGTTTAGTATGTTTTATTCAATTTAAAAACTGTGATTTACAAAGTGATTGATAGTTGAATTTTAGGCTCATAACGTTTCAATACCAGTCCCACCACCAGTGTTACCTTCCATCCATCCGTGTTCCCATATTCCCTCCCAACCCCAACCCCTGCTCCATGCCCCACCTGTCACCTTGACAGACATCTTATAAAATCCCAGTGTTAGCAGCTTAGATCTCCTGTTTTCGGTGTTGTTGAGTCTGTGTTTTGGATCTATGACTACACCACTCACCCAAATCACGGTATAGATAAAACCCCAACCCTGTTCACTGTTCACCTATTATCTCCTCCCCTCTCCTCTCCTCCCCTCTCTCGTCTTCCCTCTCCTCTCTTCTCTTCCCTTCTCTCTCTCTGCCACACCTAGCTGTGCCCAGGGCTTACTCCTGGCTCTGTGCTCAAGAGTTGCTCCTGACGGTGCTCAGAGGACCATAGGGAATGCCAGGAATCAAACCCAGGTTAGCCATGTGCAAGGCAAACGCCCCCCTGCCTATGGGGAAATTCCTATTTCTCCACCTTCTCTTTATTCCTCTTGAATTTTTTTCTTCTCTGTCCTCCTCTCTAAACACAGGGGTTAAGGGTGTTATAGGCATCCCTACTTGGCCACAGTACATTTCCTCATCCAGTTATGCTGTTTAGAACAGATAAGTGAGCTCATCTTGTGTTTGTCTTTCTTCTTCTGACTTATTTCTCGCAACATGATAGCTTCCAGTTCTAGCCACGATGCAGCAAATTGCATGATTTCATTGTTCGTTGTTCCTTGTGGCTGCATAGTATTCCATTGTGTATATATACCACATCTTCATAATCTATCCATCTGTCGTTTGGCACCTAAGTTGATTCCAGATCTTAGCTATTGTACTGAGTGCAGCAATGAATAATTGTGTACATATGTCCATTTGAATGAGTGTTTCTGTGTCTTGTGGGGAGGAGTAATGTTAAACAATCTGAACTTTAGAAAGCTTCCTTTGTGTCTTACCGCCAATGAAAGAGTAACTCACTCTATGTAGAGGAGTTCCACACCCTCTCAGGGGTCCACCTTGGGGTCTAGAATTTCAATATAAAAAATGGGGGGTTGTGAATATACAATCAGAAATAAATGTCTAGGAATCTTTGTACCTTCTACATACACCTTTTATAAGATTGGCAAAGCGTTTCTTTCAGCAGGGACTTGTCTCATTCTTTTATTTGGTTCTTTGTTTTGGGACATACCAGGCAGTGCTCTGGGCTGATTCCTGGCTCTGGACTCCTGGAGGGCTCAGGGGACCATCTAGGATACTGCGGATTGAACCCGGATTGGCTGTGTGCAAGACACACACACTACCCACTGGACCATAGCTCCAGCCCCTTGTCTTATTCTTTTTGAGGAGCTGACATTTGTGTGTGTGTGTGTGCGTGTGTGTGTGTGTATGCATGTGGGTGTGTAACAAATGAAATTGCATAGTCCCAGGTGAAAACCCTTTTCTCCTAAAGCTTTTCCCAGTCGCAGAAGTTTTAGACTTTCTACTTATGGTCCATTATGAACTGACGTTTGCACCAGGAGTGAGGTATGGGTCGGATTCCTTCTGTTTCATAAAAATATCCAGGGGTCAGAGACAGTACAGCAGGTAGGGTGCTTATTTTGCATGACCCAAATTCAATCCCCAACTCTGCATATGGGTCCCTGAGCCAGGAATGACCCCTGAGCACAGAATCAGGAGTTAGCCCTTAGCACAGCTGATATGCCACCCCCTCCTCAAAAGAAGAATTTCCAATGTTTTCACCACCTCTGTTTTGGGGTCACACCCAGAGTTTTCAGAAATTACTAGCACTCTGGCCCATTTCATCACCATTATAAAAGGGATGATTCCTCTTCCATGGAGTTCTCTTGGATTGATGACAAAAAAAAAAAAATCAGTCCCTTGGCCTTTAAATTGGTGCTTTTGTTGTGGTGAAGAGGTTTTAAACTATGACTTAAAACTATATTCAGCATCCCATAATGGTCCCCTGAGCACC